GGCCTACATTTGGCCTACCTCTGGTCTACCTTTGGCCTACTTCTGGTCTATCCTTGGCCTACATTTGGCCTACTTCTGGTCTATGTTTGGCCTACATTTGGTCTACCTCTGGCCTTCCTCTGGCCTACTTCATGTCTATCTTTTTGCTACTTCTGGTCTATCTCAATTTTTGGTCCATAATTACAGAAATTTGTCTTGAAGGAAAATGTTGTTGACCAGAAGTGTCGTGTTGGGAGTGAGGTGGATGGCTTTAACTGATGTTCTGTCTGGAGGGAGAACTCTTTTATCTCTGCTGCTGTAGGTGGTGACCTTTAACCTTTGTTTCTTGGATGTTGCTGTATCCACATGGGCAGTTGGTGTTTTTCTCATTTCAGCTTTTTTTTCTGTTTCTAAGGTAACAGATTGTCTACACGTTTCCATGGTGACAGTCTCTTTGTCTCCATGGTAACAATCGGTGTGCTTCCTGTCTCTGTTAAAATAATAGTTTATTTGTATCCATAGCAACAGCTTGTCTGTTTTTTCATTATCCTGTTTCCCTGGTAACGCCATGTCTCTCTCCCTCCCGTTGTATCCATGGTAACTGCCTCCCTTATCCTCACTTGGTAACTGTCCATGTGTGTCTCTGTATCCAGGCTACCTGCCTGTTGTGGATCCCAGGTTTTGGACTTCCTGTGTTCGCTGTCCTCTACAGTTTCGGAAACATCTGCGCTCTGGCCAGGTACCAACCAGAACCAACCAGAACCAACAAGTAAAAAATAAATGAATAAGAGGGAAATTACTGCACTGTTCAGAACCAATTAAAACCAACCAACCTTGTCTCACAAACTAGACCAGAACCAGCAGGAACCAAACTATGAGAACCAGTAAGAACCTTACAGAACCAACAAGAACCAGATGGAATGAACCTGACTAGACCAGAGCCGGTCAGATTCAGTCTTGTCTCCCAGCATAGACCAGAACCAAACAGATCTGTTCCCTGGTGGTTTTGAAAACTAAAGAACTCCATTACCCATCATTCCTCAGGGCCCCTTGCTGGTTTCTTTGTGTGTTTTTGGTTTTAAATGTCGCCCTGCGGTGGTGTGAATCTGATATTCTGCTCGGGCCGACTTCTCGATGAAGGTGTGTTTTTTGTGTGTGGCGGTACCAGCACCATGTTCCTGATGGGTCCGCTCCGCCAGCTGAAGAACATGTGCGCTAAAGAGCGAGCGATTGCCACCACCGTCATGCTGGTGAGAACTGGTTTCATTTCATCCAGGATCCGTTTTCGTTGAACTTTCAGCGCTCTTTTATTTTTAAATGTTTTGTGTAATTTCTATTTTCGTCTTGTTTTTGCCAGACTTGTTTGGTTCTGACGCTCTGCGCTGCTTTCTGGGTGAGAACCAAACTGAAAATGTGCGGCTCCGGCTTGTTTTGTTGTGGATTATTAATTGTTTTTGTTGGTGTGCAGTGGAAGAACAAAGGCCTGGCTCTGCTCTTCTGTGTCCTTCAGTTTCTGGCTTTTACCTGGTAAAGATCACACAAACACCCGTTTCTGCGTTAGTGTCACATGACTGAGTCCGGATGTGTGTGTGTGTTGCAGGTATGGCCTCTCCTACATCCCCTTTGCCAGGTAAACACACATCTGAGAAAAATGAGCTCGACAAATTCTGCCTTATTTTTGTAAAATGTGGTTCGGTTTGTGAATCACATTTTGTTGCATCACAACAAAAAATTTGAATTATTTCAAGTTTGCTTTTTTGTCTTGAGTTAATTCAGGTTTAAATGTAACAACTCATTTTATTCCAGTTTTAACTTGTTTAGCTACAGTTGAGCTAATTTTAATATAATTTTTGCTAATTTTACCAACAGTTTTAGTCATTTTTAGTTGTTTTCCTTGATTAAAAACAACTATTACTTTTTAGCAAACTGATATACACTTTTTTGATGGTACACTGGTCATAGAATATTTATTTTTTTAATATTTTCTTTATATTTCTTACTGTGTGTTTTGAAAACCACGCCCCTTTTTGGTATTGGAAAAGCCCCGCCCCTTTTGGGGAGTCGGCTTATGGAGACAAAAATACTGTACTTTGTACACTTTGTGTTTAAAAAAAAAAAATTTTTTTTTCTGTAAATAAATTTAATAATATTGATATAAATAATATAATTACTTTTTATTACTTTACTGAGCAAATATTTGAGGATAAAATTGTCTTTATTTTTTTATTTTTCAGGGACGCTGTCATCAAACTGTTCTCACTCTGCATGTAGCATCATCAGTCATTGGACCAATCAGGACACAGGATACTTTGGTCGGTATCCAATCAGGACACAGGATACTTTGGTCGGTATCCAATCAGGACGCAGGATACTTTGGTCGGTATCCAATAAGAACTTTATTTTAAACGTAAAGTTCTCAGGTTCTTAAAATATTATCTGAAAGTTTTTTATTTTATTTATTTCAAAATAAAGTCAGTTTTAATTAAGTTTATTTCTGATTTTACATTTAGTTACACGTTAATAATCCTAATTGTTTTGTAATTTATGGTATTTTAATTTTATGGGGTGATACTGCAGGAGACAAATATATAACTGTTTGAATGTACAAATGTTCAAAGTTACCAAATCAGTGATTTTTAATTTTTTTTTTTTTTTTTTCGAAAACGGCAAAACCATTTATTTTTTGTTCAGTTTCTAAACACTAGAATAGACTAATGTCATTAGGTCATAAAATTATACAATTTAAATTAATAATAATCATTTTAGTTTTTTAGGTTTTTTTATTGTTATGAAGGAACAGAAAAGGCCAAATAAATAAAAAAAATCATTTATTAATCAATATTTGTTGTAAAATGTTTTACTGTAGTCCAGTTGCTTTTATTTTTTATTTTAAAATCAAAAAGAGAATTCAAGCCTTAATTGTTTAAACATTTTTAAATCCTGATGTGAATATTTTAAATATTTAAACACTAATAATTGCCTTTAGGATGTTTAACTCTTAATAACGTAAGACAATGTTAATAAAGTTGTTATTAGGTCAATGTTAAACACAGAAAATGTTTGTATATTTGTATAAAACTTCACTATAGTAATGAATAAAATGTAGTTATTTAGTTACATTAGATCTAACTTTGAGACTGAAGATTATTTAGTCCTGGATATTTCATATTTCTGTTTTACTATATCAGTAAAACATTTTCTGTCTGAAAATACTGTGTTATGTATGGAACAACACGAGTGCCACAAAAAAAAAAAAAAACTTGAAAGTTTTAACTAAACTCTTAAAGTGAAATTGTGAACATTTGGTGGCATAAATAAATAAATAATAATTAAAATGTCAACCTACCAATGCAGAAAATGCATAGAAACATAAACAATCAAAAAATAAATTCACATTATTAAAAATTTGTACAAAAAATTTCAAGTGATATTTTCATGTTTATATTGTTATGGCTCTCTCTTTGTTCCATTTTTGACAACAATTTATTTTATTTCTTCATTTGACATTTCGGTTCATTTACTTTTCTTTAAATCCACATTTCCGCTTTCATAAACTTTATAAATAACTCCAGGTATATTTGTTTTTTTAAACGTAAACTGTGAATGAAATAATGAAGCAGAACTAATCATTTTCCTATTTTAAGTTGTGCATTTATCATGTTTTGATTTTCTGTATAAAATGTTTGTTTCCATAAATTATAAAATCAAAAGGTTTTGGTTGAAGTCAATATTTCTGATTTTCTTTGTCAACACTTTGTTTATATCATCAATATGATTTAAATTGTTTTACTAATAACATACTTTATTATTAACATTTCATTATTATTTGAAATTTTATTTTTTTCACGTTATGAACTAAAATAAATAATTGAAAAGAGCAGCTTCGCTTTAAGCTCTTTATTTAGACTTTTCACTGAAATAAACTAGGGATCCACAATATTCGATTTTTGGCCGATATGCCGATATGTTAAAACTTACTTGGCCGATAATCGATACCAATATTGATATTTTCCCCCTGGACCTACTGACAGAGACTTCGTAGCTTTCTCTGCTGTGGAATTAAAATTAGGGATGGGGCCGATCATGTATCCATATCGGCCTCCGATACCAGCATAATTTACGTATCGGATTTTTCTGATCCAACCTGCAGAGATTTGTGATCCATGATGTTGATCCAAGTTGGCTTCAAACTATGGAATGGATTTCCTGAACGGAGGCGTGTCCCATGAGCCCAGAGTAATAAGACCCGCCTCACATTCAGGAGGTCCATTCCATAGTTTGCAGCCAGCTACAGCGTGAGTAAATACTCATAATAATCATCATTTTACATCATAAAAAAAGAATATGAACTGAAAAATAAAAGAAAATTATATATGTATAAAAAAAAGAAACAAAAACGGCTACATCAATCAACCTTTATTTATACAGGTAAATCCCATTGAGCCTTGAGGACTCATTTACAAGAGAGACCTGAAAATTTAATACATTATAAAGCGATGTAAACTACTAAAAACAGGAACATGTCTGTGTTGGTTTATGCCATGAACTTAGATGTTTGAAGCCACTTAATCACTTTAATATCCACTTTAAAGCGAGGAATAAAAAGCAAACGTGTTTTGTGTTAGCAGGATTTAATTCTAACTGTGAAACTTATCCAACATTAATAAAACTTACCTCAAGTTGCCTTTTTGGACATGCATGCATATATTTGTACAAACTGTACTTGAGAGGAGATTATTACAGCCTCATATAAAATCATTCACGATTATAGCATCGGAATAGTATCGGTATCGGATCAGAAGTAAAAAAAAAAAAGGTGGATCGGTGCATCCTTTATTCTGCGTGATCTTTGTCAATTTAGCCTGTTACCAAATACAGACGGTTAAAAGGGGACGAAAATGCCTTCAAATAGTCTCTGACAGTAACGTTTTAGACATTAAGCCCTCCTCCTTCTGTTTCAGGGTTCCAGAACTTCATAAAACGGATCCGGTCTTTATCAGGTTCTGAAACCGTCTTGTGGTTCCGTCAGATGAAACTTTTCAAACCTAAATTGTGCCGCCATGTTTTTTTTTTTTTAATTAATTTTTTTAAATGGAGATAAGAAACAGCCCTTCCAAACAAGCAGTGACCTTTGACCTTTAATCTTCAGCTTGTGGAGTCTGAGATGGGGCTCGTTTCTCTTGAACCGTGCACGGTCTGACCTTCTGGGTGAATGTGCTGGGAAGATTAGCGGATGTCTCAAACTGTTTCTAATGGACTTCAAATAGTTTGGAAATGACCTTTGACCCTTACCGTTTGGATGGGCAGCAACAGTTGCTTCTCGGAGGTCATTGCTGATGTTTTCCCGGCTTGGCGTTGTGTGGACACTAACAAACTTCCTGCTCTTCTGATCTGATCAACACATTTGATGCTGAACCTCTGAGCACGGCGGAGGCGGACTGTTATTTTTCTTCGTCGAGGCTTTTTGCCTCTTCTGTTGACAATCCAAATGTGACTTTTTAAGTTTGCGTTTTTGGTTTCTACTTTTTTTACAACAATAATGTTAATAACTGTTTTGGCTCTGTGGTCCAGATCGGTTCACTAAAACCTGACTTGTATTTAAATGTTCTGTTTTCTTTCACGAGTCTGGTTTTAATGTATTTGCTCTCTGGTCTGAATTAAACTGATTAAAAATGAATAGAGGTTCTGACCCGTTTGTGTTCATGTCTCCTGGTTTCGTCCCCCATTGGGGAGCGAAAAGGAGGTATTGGAAATACCTTCTGTTCATCGGTCCGTGTGAACATAACTTGAAAAATAAATGTGGTGCCGCCTTCTGTTTTGGTTCAGGTCTACATCTAAGCGTGAAAAAGTCATTTTAAGAGTTGGATGGCTATGACAAAATCCAAGATGGCTGCCACCATAAATGTCCGTCCGTGCTATGAGCGCTATAACTTGAATAAACCACGTGCCGACGTTCATTTGGTGTGTGGCTGCATCTAAGCGTTGGAAAGGTCACTATCAAGAATTGCTTTGGCACATCAAAATCCAAGATGGCCACCGTCGTACACAGTATTCCCTCGCTTCTTTGCGCTTCGACTTTCACAGACTCGCTTTTTGACGGTTTTTCAACGATTGTCAACTTTAATATTACATGATTGGGACGATTAAAAAAAAAAACTTGGGACAGGTACGCCATTTTGTAGTTTTCTTTCCATAAACCTACACTGTAACTCGTCAAAAGAACTACACTACCCAGAAACCAACAGTGCTTCCGACCGCTGCTTTCTGCTAAAATGGAAGGAAAGTTCTTGGTTCTCTTTTGTAAATGCATCTACGAGGCTAAATGGGAACTAACCCGAATAAATGAAGGTCTAATAATAATAAAAGTTGTCAACGTAAAGTCAGAAGTAATTATCGATCTACGAAGCTCAAAGAACTGGCAGGAAAGTCTCAAATCATCCTGAAGCTCGCTTATCCACACATCAACCTGGATGGGGCGGTGGGCTTCATCGCTGCAGGGTAGGCCTGCTGAACTGGACTGGACCAGAACCAAGCTGCTGGTCTGCAGAGCTGGTGAGTAAAATGTTGCAGTACTGTACAGTACATATACGTATGTTGTTAAAATGACGTAGGTTTAAGAGTTCAGAACATTGCAAGAGTGTGGGAAGGGGTTATAAAGCTTTAAAATGCATATAAATACTAAAATATGGCTTTCCTACTTTGCGGATTTTCACCTATCGCGACGCTTTGTGGAACGTAACTCCCGCGATAATCGAGGGACTACGATATATAAATAAATATATACATATAATCTGACCACCCACTATCATTGACAAAACTATGTACTTTTTACATTTGCTTAAACATAGTTTCCTCAAATGACTGGTGTGGCCAAAGATTAATCTATGGTGGCCAAGGCCACCATAGGCCTCCCCCTGATTCCGCCACTGCCATTGGATAACATTGCTCCCTTCGCTTTCCAGGATCTCTCTCTGCGCCGACTCGAACAAAGAAAAAAAAAACTCCCTCCGCTCTTTTGCAGCTCCTGCCCACTTGCATGTCTTGCAGCAAAAACATTAAGGTTTTACTTTCACTCCCTGGCCAATTCCAGTCCAGAAATACACTCATCTCAAAAACTACAAACAATCCCTCTTTAAATCCCCCAGCGACGAGAGACATCGGCGTACCGCTTGCTTTTTTCTGTTTACCCGACCCGTCTTTATGCCTGTTAAGTCTGTAAAGCCTGTAATCTCCCCCCTCCTCCTCCGGCTGATTAAAACACACACACACTCCGGTTTTTGGTCCGTCCTCGTATCGTATGTCCTCTGTGTGTGGTTCCAGATGTTCTTCACTCGGACCTGACCTACTCTCCATTACATGCTGATCTCAACAGCTTATGGTGTTTTTCTCTGGAGCTGGGGTGTGACATTTAGACCTACAGCTGGGGGGGGTGGTGGGTTCAAGGACAACAAACCACATGCCAATAAAACCATAAATGGACTGAGTCATTGTCTGGATCCAAACTTTATTATTTTCCTCAGGTCTTTTGGTTTGGAACCTAAAGGGATACCTGTGAAGGAAGGATCTCAAGAT